AGATGTGTATAAGAGACAAGTCAAGAATAAAGTGAAGTCGGATTAACAAGAACACATGTACTTTTATTAAATATGATATTATAGAGAGAGCAAAGCTAGCGCGCGAAACTTCGAGATTTGTTCGCCGTTCGCCGTCCGTCGTCAACGAACGTCATATCTCTCTTTCTTTGTGGACATGCGCAGTATGAAAAAGATCGCCTATAAATAGATATTGTTACTTGGCGACTACTCTAAAGATCGAAAATCATCATTCACCAGCCTTAAAATTTGTTTTTGACGAACAAACGATCGTTTTTTCAATGAAAAAAATCGAGTAAAAAAAAAAAATCGCGATTTCGTCAAAAGAGATGCGCGCGGGGATGATAAACTAATCATTTTTTTTATGGGGCCTTAAGGGGGGGAGAATTTGTATGAGGCTGGACAGAAGGCCTTAAAAATAGCGGCGCCGCCCATCTCCGCCCTGCATATAACGACATACCTGCACATCATTATCCCTTACCCCCTCCCCCTTTCATAAATTTCTGGATCCGCCTCTGATTTTTTTGACTGAAAATGAAAATACTGTATTAGTACCTTACACAATCATTATTCAAAAAGATACAATCAAGTTAGTGCAATTCACAAATGTACATTGATTTTTTTACGTGCAAAGGAACGTATGCACCCGCAGGGTTCTGGTTTCCAAACATCGAACGTTATTCGTTATTCTCCACCAGATATTTCCAAACGTCCGATCAACTGATCTGAATGAAAATTTCGGCCCTTGTTCCTGGATACTAATAAATACGCAAACCGTGTATTCATGATCTTCTTTCATTCCCGAGGATAACATATCGAATTTCCGTGACCTTGTTTTTTTTACCTTTTCTTCATAAAATTTAATCATCTCTGTCTAGGTTATTTTGTAACATTCCAAAATTAATTTTGTTAATAATGGACAGACATCCGGGTGAATAAATAACTTCCTTGGCGGTAGTAAACGTGACAAAATAATAATAATACAGTAATACAATTTGAAAAATGATATGAATATCCCTTTATTTTAGTTTGAATAAGGAGGAACTAGAAACCAGTGTTAGAAATATGTAAACATTAAATATAAAGTTTATGGTTATTCCTTTCCACGCATGCTAGGCAGTCACATATTATATTTCAGGAGTCCTAGAAACGCTAATAGGAAAGGTTTGTTCATGGAAGATAACCAAAGATTGCGATAGTCAAAATACAAATGTATTTTTTTTAATACCGGCATGGTTGTAGTTCCTTCTCTTCCTATACTTATCCCATAAATTTAACCAACTTCAGTTTAAATGATACAAGTTTCTTCTTTACTGGTCGTATGTATGCAAATTAATTTTAACTTTATTCATTGAGATATAAAATGTCAGGCAATACAAATTACACGATCGGCAGTGGAGGTCCCCATTGCAACTCCCCCCCCCCTTACAGGTTACGTTGAGCCCATTGCAAGTTCTAAGAAGCCAATCAAAACGCGCAGACATTACGTCATGGGTCACATTTATTTGTATCTTCAAGACAAAGAATATTTGCTTCAAGCTTTTGCGGGCTGTGTGTTTTCTGCATTTTTTCCCATTATCATTTTACAAAGGTGGAAATGGTGAATGCGAATGTGTTAATCCACTGATCTTCCCTCAGTATGACAATGAAAAAAAACTACAAAGGCCGGACCTTGTACCGACACTGCAGGGGTAAATGGGTGGTGGTGGAAATGATTTAATTTTTTATTTATTCAAATGCCTTTTTTCGCCCGGACAAGCCAGAAGTACAAGGGGCCCAACTTACCTGTAAAAAAATCGTGTTCCGCTTAGGTAGAGAGACGCAATGAGAAGAAGAGCACGTGCACATTATTCTTAGAAGCGGTGCTTCCCTTCCAGTGTTAGATTTACTATTATAACGACACCACTGGTTGACAAGAGATAATTTAAGCGTTATATGCTCCCACTTCCAGACTCCCATTATATTGAGCAATTTGAGACCTGCAATCATTACATATATTTTATATAGATTGTTTATGTACCATACATAGACCCCTAGATCCTGCTATTAAATGATAACAATTCATTGAAGAATAATTTAAGAATAAACATTTTACCAAAACACAGTGACAGTGCTCTATATTTGCATATAAATAAGAAAAGGACCATATCAACTGCAATTGCTTCAAATAGCGATTGGTGATTATAGCAGCCACGTCAACTATTACGCATATAATTTTCTGATTGCACAAGAACCAGAAAAACCACAAAAGGTTTCCATCTAAACAGAACAGAAATAATATACTAGATAAACGGTTTTTATGAGACAATCAATTTATATATGAAAATACATATATAAAAATAGATTCAATTTGTTTTTGTTTTGAGGTATTCATTAAACAGACGTTTAATTGTTTGTTTGTTTCTTTTTTTGGCTCTATTTCAATTAGTTCCAATACAGGAAACGATAGTTGTTTGCACACAGTTATACTTAAACAAATAATGGAAGATTAAGCTTATTTCTAGTCACCGACAAACATCCTACCGATACAAAAACAGGACATCAACTATCCATGCTAGTAATGTCCATGCATGTGACCCTGAAACATATCTCGTCATCCCATAGTTTAAATGTCAGAGCCATAAACGACTGAAATGACTATTTCACTTTGGACAGCTCTAATACTACAACTTGTCTTCAAAGTTTCAGCCCAGTCGGCATGTGGAAACGAAAGTTCGGTTGCTGTTTGTAGCTGCCGGACGAATTTTGACGGGACTTGGACTGTTAATTGTAGCGGACTTGGACTACGTACTTTACCGGTCGGAATTCCGATAAATACTTCATACCTGTAAGCATTGACTTGTTTAATTTACGGCAGATATTGTACAATGTCAGTTTAATCAATTGGTTTGGTCCGAGACATTTTTAATAGACATCAGGCATAGGCGTATTTATCAATTTGTATATACTGTATTGTGTGCACGGTAATACACAGCAAACCTCGTTTGAATATTGTTATATTATATTTTAGAATGTTATATTTACATGCTAATTTGCTCTATCATTACTTGACAGAATAGGCTTCTTATCTGTATTTTTAATTGATTATTGTAC